TTCGCACAGAATCTGCATTTGCCGTTGTTTCTTAGCTTCAAACTACTGAGGTGTTCATTGACAAGACAGTGTCCTGTTAAAAACCCCGTTACAATTCTAAAATTGTTCTTAGGTTTGTGCCAAGTCTTAGAGGCATCCAAGGGACGAAAAATTCGATAAACTAGCAAGGCAAGCATCTTCGAAATCCTATCTTGGTCTAAAGCCTATATTGGGCATACTCAAATGAATGACTTATAGTGCTCCTATAGTTAACTCTAGATCGGGGAAAAGCAGACCGTCCACTGGAGAAACACAGGGGCACAGACAAAGCAAGGTCTTCGTCCAAGGAAATTTTAGAACCAAAGGAACTGCAACAGATCTCTTGACAGAACATGTGGTTGTCAAGTGCCACCTGAACAAGCTCAACCTGAATCAAGAAAGTCTTTGCTGCACATTCTGCAATAAAAATGTTGAAACTACAGAGCACATAATATGTCACTGCGAGGCTCTGGATCGCAAGCAACATTTTCTATTTGGGAAAGCATGGCTAGAACTGGAGGAACTATGCTTCCTTCCTATCAAGGACCTGCACTAATTAGTGCGCGGCACAGGTATATGGGGCAAAACATATGAATGGAAGAAACCCAGTAGACTTTACACGACGCGGAGTTTCCGGCATACGATGGACAGCCCCTTAATATAATGAGAGAAAAAGGACCTATTTTGTAGACTAAGCCAGGACTTTCAATTTCATTTTCTATTTTCTCCATTCCTCTAAGCTCGACTTGCTAAATAGTACATTCCATATCGATCTTCTAACGTAAATTGTTATTATTCTATTTAATATGCATGGTACTCTTAATAAAATAGCTGATGATGTAGGCTGCGGTGACCATGTATGTTCATCTCGAGATCGTTATGTGACCGCTACTCGTTTCCTACTTCATTCAACACATTGTCCAATGTTGGCGTTGTCAATGGTACCAGTTTTAATCGAGATTATAATGTCACAACCGACACATTGTCTCTGACATTTTTTGTTTCCAATTCGATTAATCGATTCATTCTAATAAACTACACTATCCGGCACGAAAAATGCACATAAAGTTCAATATAGTTTGTTCTAGTGGGCCGATTTTGATGATTTTTAAGCAATTTGTAGCTAAATTATTTCACTGAGGGAAAAAACGTTGTAAAATCAAAAATAATGCTAATGAATAAAATATAATCAAACATGTTTTGGCCTCATTAATGGTCATAATTGAATTAATAAGATAAGATTTTATGCATATACTCGTACATATAAAACATACATGATCATTGTCATTGTTAGTGGTATATCAGATTTAGAATAAAAATGCTGCCTATTTGATTTAAAGAAATATACATTTGTTTATTAGTGTTTTCCTTTTGTTTTTCAAATACATTCCTTTTATTTCAAGCTTTTCTCTTTATATTTTCAAATGCAATGCTTAATGATTTATTAATATGTGACTTTGTTTAAAGCTTGAGTTGATTTTATTCGAATAGGATCAGTACTAACAATTTAAATGAAATAAATATCAAATTTATTAGGAAAATAACTTTATTTCGGAATTAATCTTTTGGTGATAAGTAGGTAAATATAATTGTATTGAATGTCCTTCCAAAATAAAATAAAATAATAGATATAAGGGTATCCTGGTGAATTTTGTCTAGTGACGAATGGTTTTTGTAATGTCCTGGAATTGAGCTGTCTTTATTAGATTCCTTCAAAGGTCACAGACATTCTAAAAAGAAAGCAACGTTTAGTTAAATATATTATATACTTTTCTCCATCTTAAAACTGGAGTTAACCTGAAACAGAAATTTTTCTATACAGGGTATACAGGATTAGCAGGTTTTCTGAATCGTATAATTGCAAAAAACAGTATTTTTTAGGTTCCGAACGCCACTATAGATGAGAAAACCGCGCTATGTTGAATTTAAAAAAGTGCGGTTCTTAAATTTCTTGAAAGACTCGAAAGTCAATCACTCATTCTTTCGCGAAAAAATATTGTTGTTGGGTAATACATTAAATTTTCCACCCTGTACAAATTTCTGTTCTGTACAGGATGAGTCAACGATAAAGTAAGTAAAGTCCATATCTCAATAATTGTTTGGAGGTTTACAAATAAATGTTAAATACAAAAGTTATAGGGAAGGTTAAGATACACGTTTTAAATTATTGTAGAATATACTGGGTGCTTCATAAAGTAAAAAAAATAAGGAAGGTTGTAAAAAATATATTTTTTTATTTATTTATTATTATCTCTGATATTATCGAAATATATTTACTCATATATAATATATTATGTAAAGTGGTCCAAAAGGAAGCCAAAAATGCAATAATATACAGGGTGTTCCATTTAAAAAAAACATACCGATCCACTTACACATTTTTGAGCCACCGTAGAGAAGTTGAAATATTTTCCTGAAATACATCCTCATACATACTTTAGGTTTGGACTTAAACAAAATTGTGAAGTTTATTATTCTAAGAGCTTCAGATGCCCGACACACTACTGCCGGACCCTTTATATTATAAAAAAAAAATATTATTAGATAAAAAAAGTTATAGAATTTTACGTAGAATTTAAAAAATAAAATTAAAAATAGGGTGTTGCATTTAAAAAAGCATGTTATATCCGCAACACTTTTTTGAAGCACTCTGTATATTCTACAATAATTTTAAATGTGTATCTTAACCCTCCCTATAACTTTTATATTTAACATTTTTTGTAAATCTCAAAACAAAGGAGATAATTACCTTACTCTGTCGGTGACTCACCCTGTACATTCTGTAATGTTCATCAATATATTTTTTTACCTTTTATACTGGTAAGAGCTGTAGTAAGTTCCACCTTTTTAACAATTTTGCTAGCTTGACTTCGTATTCCTCTACATCTGAATTCTCATCATCTAGTTAAATATTACTTTGCAAATTTGAATTGTTGAATTCGTCCAGCGTTAAATTCAAAATCACAATGCATCATTTCGGCCGGCGTCGTTTCCATCACTCTTCAAGAAAACCTTTGGCCGTCATAATGCTACTGAAATAATATTAACGTTTGATCATTCTAAACAACTACTTAAACAACACATTACCTGTAAACGATACAATTCTCCTTTTTGTCACTAACAACTGTCATATACTAAACATATAATATACATATAATAAATATCATTGTACTATTCAAAATAATGGAACGCGACAAAAATCATACGCTGTGGCCGATCGGGCTTATCCCGTCAATACCGCCAAACACCATCTTTCGATGTCCACCTCAGAGAATAGGTACATTAAAGAAATGCTAACTTCATGTTAAAAAATGGAAACAGACGCCACCTGGTGTCGCCTGGCAGTACTAGCTAAATTGAGGGGAATTGGAGGGGCGGGGCTTAAAAGAGGGGAAATTAAAAAAAAAATATTTTTATAAGTATCACTGACTTACTGTTTAAAGTTAATAAACATATTTTTTATTACTTTAATATAATTTAATGTATTAAAAAATATGTCTATTAACTTTACATAGCAAATCAATGATATTATTAAAGACTTATTATTTTCAGAGAAAATTCATAGTAAATAAATTACACATTACTAAACAATATCATTTATTTTTTAGAGCTGCGATTTATATTACAATAATATTGAAATATATATATTTTTTTAACAATGAAAAAGAATATCCCGGAACCTGAAAAAGAAAGATGATCAATTAATGACTTAAATTAGTTCAAAATACATTTTGCAAATAACTAGTGAATTGGAAAGATAAACATACTATTAAAAAGACATTTTAGTAGTATATTATCATCTATTTACTGATAATACATAAGTATATAATAGGTAAATAACATGCATAAGGCACTATGATACAACTACCTGTATCATGATAACACACTAACATCACAAAAAATATATGCTAATTTAAATTTCTTTAATGGTCTAATGAAACACTATCTAGCCTCAATGCATGCCATTCCAAAGGCAAAAAAAACTGTTATACCAAATAAATATAAGCTGAATAAAACATAAACCAAGCCAATGTGCATAAACAACCAAAAAATGCATCAAAAAATACTTTTATCAGATCATGCCCTTGGATATATTATGTATTTTATATATCGCACATCCCGTTCAAAAGTTTACTAACTCAAAATAGAGAATATAGAGAACATTGTCAGGAGAAGTAAAAGAAAATTTAAGTTAACGCAATATGCTCCTTTTTGCATATTAATGGCCAAATAATGTAATGTTGATTTAATAAAAATTTAACTGGCATCCTTCTGAGGTATAAATCAGATTAAAAGGACATTGTTTTTGTAATAATTGTTTGTTCTGTAAACATTTTTTGAAGACAATACAGTTTTGAACGGGCTGTGCGATATAAACAAGGATCTTACTATTATTTGAGGTTATAAAGTATTTAAATAATATAAAACATAATCAAAATCATTTTTCATCATAAATTATAGAGGTACTTACGTGTTTTGATATTATTATCAGGAAATAATACGTTTAATTAAACAGGTACGCTGCCAGGCAAGTTCTATGGCGGGTCTTTGCAAGAGTTGAAATCTAAAAATACAAAAATACGTTTACATCTTAGTTGTATTTACGAATAAAGTATTTGTGTGTAATTCTGACTTACCAGTTAACTGAATAATCGCATTAAATACATCCAAATGGTAATTTAATATTGTAAAAAAGCAAAATTGTTTTAAATCACTTGCCAGGACAGCCCGGCCAGCTTCTTTGTTGACAAAATGGCCGCGGTGTCATGATTTAAGCAATGTGAGTGACAAAGAAAGCCAATGCCTGGCAGATGTTGCTTTCTTTGTCGTTGGTCCTGGCACGTTTAAATCCTGTTTGTGACCCCGTGGTCCACCTCAAATGCATGAGGATACATTAAAATACGCAACCAACCGTCATTGAACCGTCCAATCAGATCAAAGGAGTAATCGTTAATAATTACTAAAACCAGTAGTTCGAAAGATATATTTAAAAATAAAAGATAAAAATCCAAAAAATTAATTATCTATTAACGTAGATTTGGACGACAATAGGTAAGAACACTAAATTTATTTCTATATTCGATATAAACTTGTTCATTAGGTTTTTAGTTTGTGATGTTTCATGTGATGATCATTTTCATGTTCATCGTCTTTGAATTGACATGAGGATATCTATGGAAAAGTAACTAATCTGAAAGTAAGCCAACATATCGTTTGTCCTTTGTGTGCTAAAGAAAAGATTTTCTTTTCGCATCATGAGGAAGTATTACATCAATTAAAAAATGTTAGGAAGTTGATTACTTGTCATGGAAAAGTATACCAATGGAAATTATTTGTTAAAGAAGTATAATTCTAAGGGTAAATTTTATTATAATTAGTAACCTGTCTATTTTTTATACGTAGATGTTTCAGGTTTTAAGAATAAATTGGTTGAACCCAAAATCTGGAGGAAGTACCTATATCCATACACAGAATATGCCCATTAAAAATACTAGTCCAAATTTGCTTTAATGGTAGACAATTATTCAATACAAATTAACTTTTTAAGTGACTGAAATATTAAATAGTTTAGAATATGGTATAACAATGTAAAAAAATATTATTTTCAGGAACGATTAGGGCCCGATATATTTGAAACTCATGTTGGACATAGTATTGAGTTGGGTAGAATATTATTCTACGTTAAGTGAGGGTATCAGATACCTATTATTGTACTGTATTTTAATATATACATTAGAATTGTTGGTTTTTTCATATTTGTTTTATTTATTATTTTACTTACAAGTTATATAAAGTTAACACTAAAATCTACTTTTTGACTTATATAAGTTAGTCTGTGGTTTAATGCGTGATTACATCCACATGATTTCAAGTTTTTAAAATATAAATATTATAACTGGCTTTAAAAACTCCATTAAACTGTTAAAAGTGTAATTTATTTCAAAATAAATATACATATATAGGTATATATTAATATCGAAAAACATTTTTATTTCCTTAACACCAATTTAATCATCACATACATATGTATAAACATTTATTTACGTTATTTCAAATGAAGACCACAGGAAAAACCAGCTTTGTTCATTTTAACTGGAGCCGAGAAAATGCAATTACGAGTGAACTACTCTGGTTTTTCTCCTGTAGGGCAAAATAACTAAGCTGTAATATCTCTGGGACTAAGCATATTATTATTGCTTTCTTTGATGGTGCCTCGAATAATGCTAACACTTGCCTATAAAATTGTCTCGCTATCAATTTCTATGAAAATGTAACATATTATCTGGTTTTTTCCGTGTAGTCTTCAAATGATCTAAAAATTCAGCAGGAATGATCCATTATGCAGCAAACACACTGATGTTGAATCATTGGAAGCTTTTTTGTGGGCATTTCACAAATAAAATGAAATATCTGATCAAAAACTGAAAATGCAAATCAGATAGTAAGCTTTATAAATACATACATATATATAAATAATCATACCTACATCTATTTATGTCGTACAATCCAACCGATATTTTAATATCCTAGCCCAAGTAAATAATCAAAAATGCACTTTTTATATCAAAAGCAGTAATGTTATCAAGGGTTCCAATTAATATACAGGATTTAAAAAAAAACACGATCCTAATTCTTATTATTTTTCTAAATACGTATTGTCTGATAGGCAATTACAAAATATAAATCTGATGTAAATAGAAAAATAAAGTAAAAACTCTAAAAACAGGTAAAAACAACAACAAAAATTCTAACCAAAGATTTACCGTCATACGACATGAGCATCACGTGATTGCACAATACCCAACGATATTGTACGTACCTCTTTCATCTGATTGGACGGTTGGTTGCGTATTTTAATGTATCCTAAATGCATGACATTGTATTGGCAAATATTAATCACGTGGCAAAAGCCTAACAGAAATGTTAGCAATTCTTATAGAAATAAAATACTCTCGTGCTTAAAATAAATTTATTATAAGGATGTCTTATTGGAATAAATAGACAAGCAACACTTTTCAAAAATAATAAGGCAATGCCAGTTTATTTTAAACGTGGTTCTTTTGAAACATATAGAGTAATAATTACTTTAAAAGGACTAAATATTAGATATCCGATAAAACAGTATTCACTTTATTTCGAATGCTTTAATTTTTATTATGTATATAAAACAATATTATATTATTACCAATCGTTTATAAAACAAATAATTAGGTAAATCGAATTCCATAGAACGAGTTAATTATTTGAACATGATTTATTGTGCATTTTACAATGCATTTTTTTTCTGACCGTTGGCTTTCAGCCTGTTTTCTTATTAAAAATTAATGCCCTGTTAAACGAGGGAAAACAAAACTGGTTTGGCAAAAGTTTGAAACACCCTGTGATATAGTTAAACAAGGAATTTAAAAACCACTTTACCAGCAAAAAGCATCTTTCCTCAGTAATTTGTTTTTAATTCATCTCTCAAATAGCTTTTTTTGTTGGAGATAAAAGCTTTTCAAGAATACTTCAAATTAATAACAATTTAAGCATTAAAAATATGCCATTTTGGTCCTCATCAGTAAATATACTTGTAAAGTAAGGGTTTATTGTTTTTGTAATGTCACTGTCATTTAAAAGTCATATTATATTATTACTGTTTGTTGGTACTTACTCTAAGGGAGATCATTTAAAGTCCAAAAGTTGTATCGACTATTGTTGCTTCAAATGAACTTGGTAGAGATCAAATTCAGAACTTAAAACCATCTAGTTCTAGAGAAACTGCAAAAAAAAAAAACAAACCATCATCCCACCAAAATATAACTTTTTCGTGACGGTGACATTAGAAAAAAAAACAATATTAATCAGGACCAAAAGGAAAGGCATACTTTTAAAGCTAATATTGTTATTAATATCCATTGTATTCTTCAAAAGCAAATATCTCCAATAAGAATAGAGCTATTGAAATAAGCCAAGAAACAAACTATCCATAAACAAGCAAGCACCTTCATGACAAAATGGTTTTTGAATTCCTTACTTTGTTAAACCATCCCACAGGGTGTTTCAAACTTTTACTAAAATAATTAACTTGGTATTTGTGTTCTTTCGTCTAATAGACAGATCTTGGAAAGAGTCAAACAACTTAGCTACAAAATACTTAAAAAACTCATCATGATGCACACAATAGGACTATAATAAAACTTGCTTTTTATTTTTTTAATCAGTTGCTTAAAAGTTTCTTTAATTCTGTTTAATCTGAAATCTGAATTAGGTACATATTAACAAGTTATAATATGATGTGATTACCACTATGTCGTTCACTTCCCAAATTTTGCTAATTCTAAAATTCCCCTACTTTTATCTCTGCTCAGAGAGACTCAAGGTACTTAATCTTCCCAAATACGTTATCAAACAAAACTACAAACGATCCCACATTAAATCGGTTTAAATAAAACCTAAAACCAATATATAAAGCGTAAAACGTATAACACCCATATGAAGCGTAAAAATTTATATTCGTGTTAAAAGTGGCGTACCCTGGGGTAGACAAAGGTAGACAAAACACCCCTTGATTCCAATATTCCAATACTATTGGCATTACCCCATCGTAATCTTAAACCATAGAGGCTGTTCAAAATTCTATGCCAAACTTTCTTAAATATAAAATAGTTCTTACTATTTTCGTTTTTTTAATAGAACCGCTAAAAATTCTAAAATGCTGTAAGTACATAAAATGTTCATTTTTTAATTCTCTATCTAACAAGGGAAATAATAACAGGGTGTGCCTATTAGAAAAACAAAAAAAAAAATATATTTTAGAAAGTTTGGCATAGGATTATGTAAAGTGATCAGAAAGGATGTCAAAAATGCAACGATATACAAGGTGTTCCATTTAAAAAAAAATCATCCCGATCCACTCACACTTTTTTGAGCCACCCTATAGAAGTTTAAATACTTTCCGGAAATACATCCTAATACATACTTTGGGTTTACACTTATGCAAAATTCCTACTACATCATATTGTGTACTATTTTTGTGTTTTTTCTTTTTAAAAATTAAATTAATTTTTATTTCTAGAAAAACGAGATTGAAAATAATGATTCCGCTCAATGGACACGTTTTTGAACACGAACTGAACTATATACTACTATGAACTGCCCATCATGTTCGACATTTGGGAAATGCTTTGCAGGAGGGTTAGAGGTCGCGAAGCTTCAATAACTGAACTTCGCTTTGTTTTTAAAGAAGAATGGAAAAGCATAACGTAATATGGTATATGCAGCCTTAGTGACAGTATAAACGGACGTATACAAGCAGTTAGCATCTGTTTCATCCATTTGAGGTAGTGTTGTAAAGAAAGAGTTAGTGTCAGTGGTTGGCTTGCAAGAACTTCCCGAATTTGTATAAACACTGTTAAAGAATGCTGCAAACCCATCGCCCCCCCCAATGCTGCAAACCCACAATATCTGTAGTGTTATTTAGTTCATTATTCTCAAATGTCATAATACCTGGGATGCGACTAAAAACGTTTCTTTTATTGATGTAGTGCCAGAGCATTTTAGGGTTTGTGCACAGTGAATTTTGAATTTCAGCTAAATAGTCGGAATATGCTCGATCAATTTCTCGTTTGGTGATAGTTCCGAAGATGTTTATAAGTTGCACATGCCGTCAGACAACCAGTTTTCTTCCGTTTCCGAAAATTACGATATTTTTCTTGTAATGTTTTTATAATGTCGGTAGTAAACCAGGTAGGATACGTGCGCTTGCTTTTATGGGTATTGTAGATTGGTATATACTCATCCATTTGTGTACTGATAGTCCTGTATAGTTCGGCGACTAAATCATCCACGTGGTTACATTCAGCATTTTTCAAGATTTCCCAATTTGTATTGCAAAGACGCTCATATAGAAGGGGGTAATTGGCTTTCCGGAAGTTGTATTTTTTTATTGAGCTGTTTGGAGAAAAAATTGTGACAATTTCGGAGTGAAGGGAAAGCTGAATATGCAGTGTAGGGTGATGATGATCTTCTGGAACTAATTCAGTAGAATTAGAAACTGAACACTCCAAGTTTGATAAAACCAAGTCCAAGAAGTTACCTAACGCATTTGGGATTACATTATATTGGTTTAAGTTGGAAAAAGACAAGAAATCCTGTAAAATCGTTAATTTTTGTGGTCGGAACAGTGTTTTTGAACTGGATATTAAAAAATTTATTTTACTAAAAAAAGTTTCTAATATTTTTTAAGTTAACTATGGATGACGGAACGATGAACGACCAACGGACGTCGATGCGAATGAATTCGCCTTTAGATTTTTGAGGCTTGTCAAAGTCTTGCCAAATTATAGATTATAATTTTGTGTGAACTTATATCAAATACCCTGCGTTTTGGAAGATGGCTCATGGAAGGTGCATTTTGATTCGTGTTATTAAGTCTGTTTTGTGTCCTTTGAGGTCAAGTGGAGGAAAAATCGAGGAAAAATTAACTGTAGACCCAGAGCACAGTTTATAGTTAATACTCGCTGCCCAGGCAGAAAGTCTTAGACACCAATAAAGTTACCATCAATAAAGTTTGTATACCATCTCGTCGTAGATAAGTGCATCTCGTATATGCTACGATAGGTAAATAATTGATTTTAGTACTGCAGAAAAATAATGTCACAAGGTACTGGTTTAAAAAATTTAAGATTAAAGTTAATTAATTAATCAACCTTCAAGGTATAAAAAGTATTTGGTAAGTGTTATTATTAATAAAATTGTTTTACTTATGTTGTTTAATTTATTCCTTTGGATTATTATAAATTTGTATTTGTACATAATTTATACTGCTAAATACAGGGTGGGACACTGAAAACTTACAATGGCTATAATTTTTATACCAAAAAAGATATAAAAAAAATAAAAAATACCCTTTCTATTATATCGAAGGGGAATACATATGACGTATTTTTTGAACCGCCCCGACCTACCCCTTAAGCGGCACCCCTACTCCCTCGAAAATCTTAAATGGCAACACCCCACTTATGGCGCCTTTTTGGAAAGCCCATGAAAAATGCTAAACGATAATCATAACGTTTTTAGGGTGAAATTGAAAAACTACCCCTTACACGAAAAATTAGGTAGACATTAATGAAAAAAGTAATTTTTTCAGCATAAGCTACAATTTTGG